CACAGCTCCATGAAATGTGGGGGGAAAAAAAAAATGCTGGAAATTCTCAAAATTTCTGTGAAAATTCCAACTGCTGCTCCAAAAACCTGGGAAATGCTGCAGACAGGAACTGGGCACTTCTCTGCTCAGGGGGGTTTATTTTATTTTATTTATTTTATTTTTTTTTTATGGATGGGGCATCCAGGAGGTTTCTCTCCCCCTAAACTCAGCCTAAAAGGGCTGGAATGTTCTCCCAGAGGTGGAAAATAGGGATTTAACTCCAGGATTTAATCCCTGCCACCTCCAGCTCCAGTTTTTTTTGTGGTTTTTTTTTTTTTTTTTTTATTTTCACAGCTCAGAGATCAGAGCTCAGCACGGCACCAAATATTTACCCTCAAAGTGGGAATCAAATATCCATGAAATCCTTGGAATAAAAGGGGTTATCTGGAATTGGGAGCTGATAAAATAATGGTGTCTCCTTTGGGGGGAGGGGGTGGATTGGAACCTTTTGGAATTCTCTGGAATTCTCTGGAATGTTCACGTGGTTTTAATGTAAAGTTGGGGGTTCTGGGGGTGATTCCTGAGAGGGGAAAAAAAAAAAAATCCTGGAAAATCTGGCAAAAGAATTCTAAAGAAAGGTGGTTTTGTTTTTTTTATGGAGCAGGAATAAAATAAGTTTAGGAGGGAAGAAATTCCTGGTTTTCCCGCGGTTTGGATGCTGCCAAATGTTGGGAATTGCCTCACAAGGAATTCCTGACCCCCTTCTTTTGGGATTATTTGTAGGGAAAAAGGGAAAAACTGTGCAAGGATAACCAGGAGCCACCAGGGCCTTTTCCTGCTCCTGGGAATTCTGTGCTGGCTCCAGGGGATTTGCCTTGACCTTCAGCCGTGGTGTCCCAGTGTGCCCAGTGCTCCCAGTGCCAATGTGGGATGGCTCAGTGCCCCTGGAAGTTCATTCAGAGTGTGGGAATGGGAAATCCCAGCAGGAAAAACTGCACAGAGGGGTCAGGGATATCCTGGAGGGCTCCTGGTCCGATCCAGACCCCTGATTCCAGCAGAATTCCTCAGCCCAGGCACCCAAAGGAGCCGTGCCCGTGTCCTGCCTGCTCAGCTGCAAATTCCTGACAGGAGCCCTGGGAAATGCAGCTCTGATCCCAAGGAAATCCCTTTTTTGGGGCAGAGGTGGCAGTGGGAGAGCCCAGGCCAAATGCAGCTGCAGGAGCTGGGGATGGGGACAGGGAAAAGCCGAGCCCAAACATCGCTGGGGCTGCTCCGGCTCTTCCCCAGCCCCTGGAATCAATTAGGGAACAATTGGGGCTGGAAATAGCGGGGAGGGAACGGAGCAGGGATGGGCAAACCTCAAACAATGCAGACGTCTGGGACTCGTCTGGGACACGGCTCGGGAAGCTCCCGGGGAGCTCCAGGATCTCCTCCCCTCCAAATCCCTCCAAATTTTCCAAGGATTGTTATAGGAATGAATCCCTGCTCCAGGAGGGAACGGCCCCATGGAAAGCTGGACCCTGGAGCAAGGGAGACCCGGGATCTCCTCATTTCCCCTCCAAATCCCTCCAAATTTTCCAAGGATTGTTATAGGAATGAATCCCTGCTCCAGGAGGGAAGGGCCACACGGAGAACTGGATCCTGGAGCAAGGGAGACCCGGGGAGCTCCAGGATCTTCTTGGAAAATTTGGATGGAAAATGAGGATTGTTGAAGGAATTACTCCCTGCTCCAGGAGGGAACAGCCCCATGGAAAGCTGGACCCTGGAGCAAGGGAGACCCGGGGATCTCCTCATTTCCCCTCCAAATTTTCCAAGGATTGTTGAAGGAATCACTCCCTGCTCCAGGAAGGAACGGCCCCATGGAAATCTGGACCCCGGAGCAAAGTCCCAGGTGGCAGCCCCAGCTCCAGGAATCCCAACCACATCCAGAGGGAGCCGATGCTCCAGGAAAGCCGAGCCCAGGGTGTGAATGTGGCACAGCAGAGGCTCCGTGCGCTGCCCCACCCCGCCAGGGAGAGCTGCAGCACGGATGGATTTGTTCCCAAAATGTTCGGAGAGGCAAAAAAACCCCCCCGGGAGCAGCAGAAATCTCTGTGAGCACCGACCTGGCACAGGCTGGGCACGGAGGGGATGGGAAAGGGAAAATCCCCCTGGAGCAGCAGGAATTTCTGTGAGCAGCGATCCGGGCCACCCTGGGCACGGAGGGGATGGCAGAGGGAAAACTCCGATGGGTCAGGAGAAATCTCTGGGCACGGAGGGGGTGGCAGAGGGGTTTGAGGAGCGCTGAGCTGCTCCCCTGGGCTATTTCGGGTGCCCGCAGCTGAGCTGGGGGAGGTTTGGCACCTCTCCCCCTTCCCTCCGGGCACACACGAGCCCAGGTGGGCGAGAGCAGCTCCGGGGTGGGGCTGAGCCATGCAGGGAGGGGCTCGGAGCCGAGGGATGGGGGAGAAGTGCCCTGAGAGCCCTCTGGGATCCTGTCCTGCTCCTTGGGGTGGTGGGTTTGGGGAAGGGGCTGCTCCATCCATCCTACCCGGGAGGGGCCGATCCCCCCCTGGCACAGCCCCCCCCAGACCCTGCTCTGGGCTCAGAACATCCCAGAACGTGCTGGGATTTGGGAACAGGGACTGGGAGGCGCTGGGGGGAGCAATGGGAATTCCGGCTGCTCCATCCTCAGCTGGATTCGGGTACCAAAACGGGGAGGGGAAAGGGGGAGGCAGAGCTGAGGGAAATATGGGGGGGCTGCCCTGGTTCCTGTGCCCCAGCTGTGCTCCAGCTGTGCCCCAGGTGCTCCCAGTGCCAGACTGGGCCGTGCCCAGCAATCCTCACGTGAGACCCCCAAAAACCAGGGGGGTGCAGGGCAGTTTGTCTGAGCAAAGGCGCATTTCCAGCAAACCCCACAAATCCCCTCCCCGAGCCCCCAAACCCTCCCGGGGCAGCTCTGGGGGCGGCAGCTCCTCCCTGCAGCACCTCCCAGTGGGGACAACACAAAAACAAGGCGGGGACAAGGCCACAGGTCCATCGAGGGCAGCTCCCGGGGGTTTGGGGACAGCCTCGTCCTGCTGGAGCCGGGAATTCTGCGGAGAGTCGGGCGGGAGCCTCTCCTTTCTCAGAGCTTCCATCTCCATGGTGACGAGATCCGAGTTTAAAATATACTCTGCCTCCTGTTCTTGCCTCGGGCTGGGGAAGGGAGACAGAGAGAGGGGTCGGCGGGGGCAGGGGGTGATGCTGGGGGAGGAGATTCCGAGCCTGTGGCATCCCTGGAGGAGCCAGCTGTGCCTCGGGATACCCAAACGGGACAGGGAGGTGACAACAAAGATGCCCAGGGGCGATTGGTGGACTGGGAGCAGGTTTGGCTTTTCCCTGCCCAGTGCCAGCACCATCCTGGCATCACCTGGCAGAGATGCCAGCCCTACCTGAGTGCTGGAAGGCTGAGCCTCGGTGCCCGGGGTCCTTCTGGAGCTGGATCTCCTTCAGGGAGAAGATGGAGGCGTCTGGGCAGAGGGGGCAGAGAGAGGGGTCAGCCCTGCCCGAGCTCTTCTTTCCCTCTCCCACCCAAATCGTTATTATTAATTAATTTATTATTATTCCTTGCTCCCACAGCCATCAGCTCCTGCCCCACCCTGCTGCAGAAGCTGAGGGAGCAAACAGGAGCCTGAACAACTTTTTGACCTCATTTTTACCCCTTTTGAGCCCTTTTTGGAGGGGCCAGGCAGCACTTACTGTCAGGCAGGAGGTGCACCCGCTCTCCCAGGCTCTTGAAGTAGGGGTGCTGCAGGGCTGCCTCGGCTGAGATCCGGCCCTTGGCTCTGTACTGCACAAAGCCCCGAGAAAAGCCATAAATACTCATTTATATCACACATCTGGGCACCCCTGTGCATTTACACCACACATCTGGGCACACATCTGGGCACCTCTGCCCATCCCAGCAGGGCGGGTGGCCCTGCCCTGCATCTTCCCTGCAGCAAATCCCCCCCCTTTTTCCACCCCCCTGGGCTGCTCCAGCACTCACCAGCAGCAGATTTGTCAGCAGGTCAACACCTTCCGAGTCCAGCCTGGGGGAGAGGGGAAAATAAAACCCAAAACTGCACCGTGGCTGCACCAAGGACAGGGCAATAATCCCAGTGAGGGACCAATGGCACTGCAGCCCCGAGGAGAAAATGAACCTGGGCTGCCCAGGCTGCCCCTGGCACCCCTCAAACCCCCCAACCCCAAACTGTCCCTGCTCCAGGGGTACCTTGGGGCGTGATTTATCAAGGGCTGGGCTCGGTACTGGCTGAAGTTGTAAGCCTTGAACTCCTCGTTGGATGTTATCCCAGGCCAGGTGTCCTCTGTGGGGGTTCCTGTGAGGGGACAGAGGGAAACGTGCCATGGGCACTTGGGATGGGAAAACTTCAGGAGTGTGGGGTCCCTGTGCCCAGAGAGGGCACCCATGTCCCCGCTGGGCTGGCAGTGCCAGCAAGGAGCTTCTGGTCCTTACCCTGTGCCAGCCTGGAGGGGGCTGCAGCAGCTTCTGGCCCTGCCAGCTGCCCCCTGTCCCTGCCACATGACCCCTGCCCACCTCTGCCCACCCCAGGTCACCCCTGTCCCTGCCACATGACCCCTGTCCACCCCATCCCATCCTCATTCATTCCTCCCCTCACCGTCCATCCCATCCCACCCCTTTTCATTCCTGCCCATCTCATCCCACTCCACCTCATCCCTGTTCATTCCTGCTCACCCTACCCCATTCCATCCCATCCCACAGATCCCATCGATCCCATCCCACAGATTTCATTGATCCCATCCCATAGATCCCATCGATCCCATCCCACAGATCCCATCCATCCCATCAATCCCATCCCACAGATCCCATCCATCCCATCAATCCCATCGATCCCACCCCATCACACAGATCCCATCCATCCCATCGATCCCACCCCATCCCACATCTCCCAGCGATCCCACGCCGGTTCCCTCCCCGCTCTCCGCTCCCGTTTGCCGGCACTGCCCTCGCGTGGGGACGGGCTCTCAGCGCAGCGCTCACCCAGCAGCCGGAAGATGAGGTGCAGCTCCTCCTTCACCGTGGAGCCGGGGAACATCGGCCGGCCCGTCACCATCTCGTAGTGGATGCACCCGACCCCCCTGAAGGGCAGGGGACAGCCCGGGATTAGGGGGGGACAAACCCCGGGATTAGAGGGGGACAAACCCCGGGATTAGAGGGGGACAAACCCCGGGATTAGAGGTGGGACAAACGGGGCTGGTGGAGCCGGGAATGAGCTCCCAGCCAGGGGGGGTATGGCACAGACCCGACCCCCTGAGCCCAGGGGACAGGGAAAACTGCTCTGGGAAAGCTCCAGGGAAAACAGGTCTGGGAGAGCTCTGGGAAAAGGGAAAACTGCACTGGGAGAGCCCCAGGACAGGGAAACAGGACTGGGAGAACCCCAAACCCTCTGGTGTAAAAAGCCCCGTAGGACATGGAAAACAGCACTGAGAGAACCCCAAGGGACAGGGAAAACAGATTTGGAAAAGCCCCCGAACCTCTGGTGTCAACAGACCCAGGAGACAGGGAAAACTGCTCTGGGAACACTCCAGGAACAGGGAAAACTGCTCTGGGAGAGCTCCAGGGAACAAAGAAAAAAAGCTCTGGGAGAGCCCTCAAATCCCTGGTGTCAACAGACCCAGGGGACAGGGAAAACCGCACTGGGAGAGCCCTGGGGACAGGAAAACCGCACTGGGAGAGCCCTGGGGACAGGGAAAACTGCACTGGGAGAGTCCCCCACCCTCTGTTGTACCCAACACCGTGAGGATGAGGATGGAACTGCCTGAGCCCATCCTGGAGAGCCTGGGAAGCTCCCGGGAAGCTGCCAGGAGCCTCCCGTGCCTCACCACATGTCGATGGGCGTGGAATACTCGGTGGATCCCAGCAGGACGTCGGGGGGCCGGTACCAGAGCGTCACCACCTCGTTGGAATAGGTTTTAGTTGGGACCGACTTGGCCCTGGCTAATCCTGGGGGTGGAAGGGATGCACATCAAGGAGCTGCCCCTTTCCCCCCCCCCCAAAAAAAAAAAAAATCATCCCTGGAGGGTTTCACCTACCAAAATCAGCCAGTTTGAGCTCCCCTCGCTCGTTGATGAGCAGGTTCTAGGATTTTCCTGCCGTGGCAATAAGCCAGGCCACGGAGCAGCTGGAACATGAAGATCTGCAGGGAGGAGGAGGAGGAGGAGGAAGGGGTTGCATTTAAAAAAAAAAAAAAAAAAAAAAATCAACCTGGCTAGAGGAATCTCGACGTTTTGAGCAGGAAAGACCCCTGGGAACTGTGCTGGGGTGGGGAAGTGTCACAAAAGGGGATGAGGGAAGTGTGCACGTGCAGGGATTTTATTTAGGGTGGCAGTGACTGGGGAAATGCTGAGGGAGCCTCAGAAAGGGCAAAGGGTGAAGGGTGAAGGGATCTCCAGCTTCTCCCAGCCCCAAAACAGCCCCACCCAGGACCAGGGGTCCCGGGCACCCCCCTCACCTTCACATTGTGCACACTCATCAGGTTCCCGCAGTTCTCCAGGTACTGCTTGAGGTCATTGTCCTGTGGCAGGAAGGACACGTCAGTCTGTCCTTCCCTTGTCCCCCCCCCAGCCCCCAGAGAAGCCCCCAGACCCACCAGGTACTCGAAGACGAGGGTGAGGGAGCGCTCGGTGTGGATGATGTCGTGCAGGGTGACGATGTTGGCGTGTTTGAGGTTCTTCAGCAGCGACACTGCGGGGACAGCGGGGTTGGGGCAGCAGGACCTGGGGCTGAGCACGGGCACAGCCATCCCAAATCCTGCTGGGAGCCCCATCCCAAACCCTGCTGGGACCTCAGGGATAGGACTGAGCACGGGCACACCCATCCCAAATCCTGCTGGGAGCCCCGTCCCAAACCCTGCTGGGAGCCCCGTCCCAAACCCTGCTGGGAGCCCCGTCCCAAACCCTGCTGGGAGCCTCGGGATGGGGATGAGCACGGGCACACCCATCCCAAATCCTGCTGGGAGCCCCGGGATGGGGCTGAGCACGGGCACACCCATCCCAAATCCTGCTGGGAGCCCCATCCCAAATCCTGCTGGGAGCCCCATCCCAAATCCTGCTGGGAGCCCCGGGATGGGGCTGAGCACGGGCACAGCCATCCCAAACCCTGCTGGGAGCCCCGTCCCAAACCCTGCTGGGAGCCCCGGGACGGCCCCTCCCGGCCTCACCTTCCCGGATGGCCGTGCAAGGAGCCCCCTCCTCGTGCTCCAGGCGGATTTCCTTCAGCGCCACCAGGTTCTCTGTCAGTTTGCTGCGGCCCTTGAACACCGTGGCGTAGGTGCCCTGGCAGGGGACAGGGGACACAGGCCATTTCCCAGGGTGGCACAGCACCCGTGTCCCCAAAACATTTGGAGGAAGGACCATTTGTGGTGACAGCACCAGGTCTGAACTCCACCAGAAAGAGCTGGTCCAAAAATTTCTGGATATTGAAGATTTTTGCCCTTCGAATCTCTTTAATTCCATACAGGGTGTCACAGACTACTCACCTCTCCCAGTTTGTCCAGTTTGATGTAGGTTTCCAGCTTCCCAAAGCCGATATCTGACTGTGAGAGAGGAAGGAAAACATCACTGGGGAGGAGGAAACCTCATCCAGGGATGGCTTCACCTCCAGAAGGGTTTCCAGGGACACTGGGCAGTGACAATTGGGATTTTTACTCCGTTTACTGCCCAATCCCTCTCTGTATCCTGGGAAAAGCCGTGTCCTGAGCAGGGCAGTGAAGGTGCTGGAAGTCCCGAGTTGCTGCACAAAGCCCAGAGCCACATTCCTTATTCATGAGGGCTCATGAATATTAATGTCACATCGCCCTGGCGGGGTTTGTTTTATTGATCAGACAGCACAGGCAGGTAATTTCCAGCTCTCCTTCCCTCCTCCTGAACGGGCACCTCGGATCCCAAAATGCCTCCTGGTGCCAGGCTGTGGTACCTGGGCACCTCTGAGCACACCTGGTGTGTGCACATGGAGTTTTTTGCTCCTGCTCTGTTGTACACTGAGTTTTTGCTTCGATTTCTGCTGCTGTGCTGCAGCAAAGAAACTGAAATGCCACCACTGAAGCAAAGGCTGATTCATTATTTATCCACATTTGCATTTCCTCTGCCAAGAGGCTCCGGCTGAACTGCAGGAGGGTTTTCCTTTGGGAAGGAGCCAGGCTGAGAGAGCAGCCAGGTGTGCACAGGGGAGTGCTGGAAAGTGGGAATGGCACAGCAGGTGCAGATGGGGAAGGGATGCAGATCTCACAATCCCTGAGGCTGGAAAATCCCTGTGGGATCATCGAGCCCGAGCTGTGCCCGATCCCCACCCTGAGCACTCGGTGCCACCTCCAGGTGCCACCTCCAGGGACGGGCACTCCAAACCTCCCTGGGCAGCCCCTGCCAACCCTTTCCATGAGGAAATTCCACCCTGAGCCTCCCCTGGCCCAGCCTGAGGCCGTTCCCTCCCCTCCTGTCCCTGTTCCCTGGGATGAGATCCCAAATCCCCCCCGGCTGGCCCCTCCTGTCAGGGAGTTGTGCAGAGCCACAAATTCCCCCTGAGCCTCCTTTTCTCCAGGCTGAGCCCCTTCCCCTCAGGATTCTCCAAACCCTTCCCCAAATCCCTCAGGATTCTCCAAACCCTTCCCTGGACACCCTCAGGACCCTCCAAACCCCTCCCCAGCTCCCTCAGCTCCTCCCGGTGCTGCTGGGGATGTACAGGACAGGCTGGGAATGGGCAGGGACATGAGGGGACCTCAGTGCCACCCGGGGGAGGTGGCACAGAACCACAGGACTGCAGCTGTGACAGGGGGACACGTTGGGGACGCCGTGCCTGGCACTGCCCCCTCTGCTCGGTGCCACTTACGAGGGAGGCTCGCCGGGACATCCTGCTCAGGGGCTTGGGCAGCTCCAGGCTCTCCATCTGCAGCTTCTGCAGGAACTCGGGGGGCAGCCGGATGTCCATGGGCAGCGAGAGGCGCTTGCTGACGTCCTGCAGGGAGGGGACAGAGCACAGGGAGGTGACAGGAGGCCTTGGCTCTCTGTGTCACCGATGTGGCAGGGACAGGGCAGTGCCCTCGGGGAGGTGGTGGCACAAGGGGAGGCTCTGCCACACCAGAGGGTGCCAGGGCTCGTGTGTGACACTGTGACACTGTGTCTTAGGTTGCAATGCAGGATGTGACCAAAAGTGTGGATTCTGTCACCAGATGTTAATCCAGGAGGGGCAGTGATCCTGATCTCTGTGGGGATATCTGCTGTTAATGGGCGAGGTGTTAAAAACCAGCTGGGGCCGTGTTCTTTATCTTTTCCAAACCCATCCTTCCTCCAGGAGATCTCTCCTGTTAATGGCCATGGAGTCTCATTGTATCCCTGATAAAGTTACATCATCCCATTGGGTCCCACTGAATAACTGATAAAATTCCATCATCCCATGGGGTCTCATTGTATCACTGATAAAATTCCATCATCCCACGGGGTCTCATTGTATCACTGATAAAATTCCATCATC